AGACAACTGTTTTCTATATTTAATGAAGACTGGTGTCTTGATTTGTGTTTGGTATCGAGTTTTTTGCTAAATTATCAATATCTAATGGAATGATATCATTGTAATTAATATCATAATCATCATCGTTTATCTCAGAACTGCTTATCTCGGAACTGTTAATTTGTGTCTAAACTCCGCGTACGCTTCTTTACAGCTTACTAAGCCCGAGGATCTTTGATGGATCTTCGATCCGACCATGTTTTCCGACTTTGCCGTGTGTTTACTTTTATCTGAACTTAACAAATCTTTGAAAAATGATTTAATTGTAGATGGAGATTTGGTATTTAAATGCTGTTTTGTATTTTCAGTGTTCATTTATATGAGAATAAAAATAAAAATATAATATTAATATAATTCTAAATAGATTATTATCACATTATTAGTACAGTAATATAACACATTCTTTAATAACAACATACTCTTAAGACATCTTTGACGAGAAACGCTAAGATGTGGTGAGTTAATTGTAAATATATTACTTCAAAAATATTAATCTTTTGAAATGATATTATTTGGTTGAAACAATGATTTCGGTTACAAAAGCAGATGGAATCTTTTATTGATTATTCGCATGATCATTTACATTATATTTAATCATTCCAATTTTAAATACTTCTTTAAATTTACTGTAAAATTCTTTATCATTTAAATGTGAAACCATTTGATAACCTTTATTACAAGTATTGGAATTGACACTATATCTTATTATTATGTCAACAATTTTATTTAATCAGATATATATCAAAATATTCTTTAAACTTATCTCTTCTTGTTCTGAACTTATTATAACTACATTTTAAATCAACATAAATATAATTATCAGTTTCATTATAATCAACATAATCATCGACATTTTCTTCATCTGATTTTTCATTTGATTCTTCATTTGATACAACAGACTTAATAAGCAACAAAGAACATAGCTCAACATATTTTCTTAAAGCATCACAAAGCGGCGACTTCGCCGCGGTATTCACGTAAGATTCAGTCGTTTTAAGGAAAATAAAAATTACATTAATATGAAATTACTATAAAACTTAAATTAC